CTTCCTTTACTGCTCCTGAACGTTTTTGCTCCCCTGCTTCATCACATAAGCTGTTACTAGAAGAGGATGTTCACTACACTGCACATAGTACAGGGTGTAACAGAAATATTTAGAGGGAGAGGCTCTGTCAGGCCCTTTAGACACCTCTAGGTCATGACTACTCTTACCATTAAACATCCCCCCACTCCAGCCCCAAAACACACACATGTCATACCAATCAATTTAAAGCAGAACCTCATCCCATGTTAAATGTAACTTCTTTGATGTAAAAAAATAAGGGAAATGATTTAAAAAATTTTTGAGTTTTAAATATATTCTTCATTTTGTTCTTGTAATTCAAACTTTAGTACATTTATATAAAACCATTAAAGAGTTGAACTGCAATTTACAAGTTGGCTGAGTTTACCTTTTGTGGGTATTTAATAAAACTTTTGTGCATTTTGATTTTCCAATTTCATGTTTTGGAACTAAGATTTTTTTCCCCATGTGGCACACTTGTTTTGGTCTTTGAAAGCTCTCAGGGTTTCGATCCCAGTGTGGCAGGGACGGCTCTTTGGTGGTGGAGGGGTTCAGATGCTAGGGGGAGGTAATGAGAATCTAAAGTCAGAAGTGAGTCCCTTCTTTCCCCTTCCTTGCCTTCCAATCTTGGCAGAACCTAACCAGAAATCAGCTGACAAGGGAGTCTGGGAAATGTGGCATGTAGGTTCCCGGCCCCAGTGTCCTGTGGGTAATTAGCTCCATGTGGTGGTAGCCTCCAAGTATGCTATAGATGGGCTGCAGAGGACACAGACCAAGAAGGCTCAGACCAAATTATGATGAACAAATTTCAGAAGTTGTTGAATCTATTTAAAACATTCAGCCAGAACCAAGAGGAAAGAGTTGGGGTAGGTTAACCCACTTGGGATAGGGTACAAGCAGGGAGAAAGGACTGCGCTATCCAAATCTTGTTTTATGCTCCGATAAGTGTAGTTAGAGGTCCAGAACTGAGATTAGGTAAAGGATCAGTAGATGGAAGATGCTTGGAACCAATGCGTACTTGCTCTGTTCAGAGCTGCAAGGGCAAGTAGGCCTGGCCACAGGTTTACTCACATGGCTCATCAGTGTTCTGGGCAGCCATTCCTTTTATCAGCATTTCTGGGGCAGAGTCAACATAGGCCAGGATGGGATCACCAACAGGTAGACCACTTACAGATGACCTGGCTGTCAGCCCTGAGGTGGCATGCTCTATACCTTGTGACTGATGACTTTATTTTTTCGTTTGTAAATAACTCTTGTTTGTTCCATTCTTTTTATAATATATTCCATTCATTCTATTTTTACATGTCTTAGAGATTACAAACTTGCTACCTATTTTTAGCACATCTGAATTCTGCCTGTGTCTCACAAGCTGCTTGCTTACTTAGTTAATACATCTGATGGATTTCACCCATCCTGTTTGCTTTTCGTGTCCTCTGTAGCAGAATTGAATATTCTCACACAATGGGGCAAAACACACATTATACCTAGCATTACAGAGAAGAGTATAGAAGTGTGGTGTTGGGACTGAGAGATGCACGGTAAATAACTAGCACTAATTCAATTTCATATGTTTTTCATACATATAACCACTTTCCCAGCGCTGTTTACTGAGTTAGTCTCTCCTTTCCTTACTGATCTGAAATGTCATTTCTGTCATAGGCCAACATTTCGTATATATTGGGCCTGTTTCTGAGCTCTCTATCCATTGGTCACCATGTGTATCCCAGGCCTTCATCATTGCCTTATTTACTGCAGCTTCAAATAGTCCTGATATGGATAGACCAAGTAAAGACTCTAATTTTCTTCAGAAAAGTGGCCTGGCGCTTCTAAACTCCTTAATCTTCGATATATATTAGAATCTGCTTATCAGGTTCCTCCCCAAAATAGCCTTTTGAATTTTGATCACAATTTTTCTGTAGATTAATTTGGAGAGAACTGAATCTTTCATTCAGTGAACTTGGCATAGCTCTCCATTGTTTGGGTCTTCTTTAAAGTTTATGACTTTCCCCATAGTGGTTTTAATTCATCTTTTGTTAGATTTATTCCTAAGTAATTGATGTCCTCTAATACTATTGTAAAGAGTATCTTCTTTTTAATTATTTTTGTTGCTGGTAAATGAAAATACAGTTCATTGTTCTATATAATCTTCTATGAGCTACGTTGTTAAATTCTCCTATTACTTCTAAGTATTTGTAGATTCTTTTGGATTTTCTATGTAAATGATCAAATCAACT